GTTGTTTTATAATCATTTCGATGTTAGGATTATTCACACAAGTATTAAATAAAACTATAAAAAAAAAATACAATGTCACATTGCTGTAAACTGAAATAAAATAAAAATATATCTTGATATTTATTATTACAGCAAATATTCCGGTTACTACAGGTGCTTACACTCCTCCTGTAGGTGTTTGCCATACACGTTTTTTTCACGAATCGTGTAGTGTGCTCGTACTCGTACTGCGTCTTACGTACTGTGTTCACTTGGTGTGAGTTGGTCAGTTTGAGTTAGGGCCGGTGTTAGGGTGGGACAGGGAGAGCTAGAGCCCGGGTGCCCGTACTTCCGAGAAGGCCCGTCGTATCAGCCTTTAATAGAATATTTTGATCGTACTAAAATTTGTAAAAGTAGTATGTACATATCGGCAAACGCGTGCAAGTAAACGGGACCTAGAACCGATCAGCCCTGGGACCCTCAAAAATTTTCGTGGGTGCTGATTCGAGCAGATTGTATGCGAACAAAAGTATTCGGTTGGACAACAATAATATCGTGTTGATCGGTGCCGTCCGTTGGGAAAACGGTCGTTGCAGGATTTACAGGTGGTAAACACGGGCGAGATTGGAGGCAAAAATGACTGCAAAACTCGTTTGTTATTGTAATTATAACCGTACGGCCATAACATACGGGAGTGCTTCAATAATAGTAATGATAGGGCGCGAGTGTAATGATGATAAATCAGTTGTAGCCGTTATTGCGTACGCGGTACGCGTTGCTGTGCTGTCGCGTCGGCTTACTATTGCGGGCGGCGACGGTGCGCGGGGATCGGCGGGATTCAATCGGAAGAAATTCAATGGTCCGTGTGCACGGCCGCACTGCAGCAGAGGCATCACGCAATAATAAATATAAAAAAAAAAAAATATATATAAAAAAATAAAAATCTCGTGTTTTTATCATCGGGCAGCGACGGTGGAGTTCCACCCACACTCTACCGTTACGTCCTATACACCCCCCACCGCCCGGCGTGTGCTTTTTTTTTTTAATCAAACATTCCGAATGTCTGACGGGGACGAAGGGTCCGCGAGAGGTGTAGTGTAAAAAATTTGCCAAACACCATCGGACTGTGTATACGTATATACGCGCATTCGTACATGTATACTCGAAGCAGTGGAACAGTAATCGCGTGTACAACTCGTGACTCTAGCGAAAACTCAACGACCCGTGTGATGCAACCGTGAAGGGCGGAGATTTATTTTTAATTATAATTTTCTCCACCCTCGTCCCTCTTCGTCGGTCACTGGGCAGTCGGAGAGCGTGGGCGTGAAATTTTTCACCCGCCGACGTGAATTTTACCCCCACTGGTCGTCTCCAGAACCGATCCGAACTTCGGGTCGCCGTTAAGCCGATTCACGCTTGTGTACGTTTTTCGGTGATGCACCGCACCTCTGATGTGACTGTGACGAGAGCATCGTAGATATTTGTAAAATCGGTTGCAATCTAAATTTTAAGTTGTTCGAAACATAATTTTTAAGCGCATACTATATACCAGTGTTGGCCAACGATATCAATAATTCGATACGATATTGCGAGTATATCGTAGATATTTTTTTAATAATTTTGATATCGATACCTAAAAATAATTATTGAATATATCGCGATACTGGAATGATTGATCGGGGCCCGGAATAATAAAGTTGATAGATGGATAAAAGTGTATCTATTAAATTGATACTGTGGACTAGATCAGCGGTTCCCAACATTTTTTTCTTCCGTATCCCTAAGTTTAATATTTTACTAGATTGTACCCCTCATAAATTTTAACCTTTTTTCACAACACTACTCTAAAAATATTTAAATAAAAAAAATAACAACCATTTTATATAATTTTGTTATTTTTAATATTTTACAATAAAAGACATAAAAAAAATAAATAAATTAGTTATTTTATTTAATGAATAACAAGATTGTAACATAAAAATTTTATCAGATCCTTGGTCTTATTTCAAATTATATAGATTTTTACGCTGCAGCTCTTTTACGCACATTCAACATTTTTTACCTGAAAATCGACGACTCGTATGCGCACAACGACACATTCACACACATGAGACGTGTATACATATATCGTCACAGATTGCAGTACAAATTATAAAATATATTATCTTAATATTATCTCATAATCGACTATGTAGACAGTAGATTATATAAATTTGGATTTTCCCAACAACTTTTAGTAAAGTTTCGGTAAGTATGGACTATGTATATGGACAGTACAGTGGTGACTAGTGTGTTGACGACGTAAACTTTAATATGGCGTAGAAATTTCTAATATTTTTGAATCTCGGTGAAGAAAACTGTGTTTTAATATTGATGATTATAAATTTAGAGAATACCGTGTTTTAATGAGTGGATGTTCAAATTTTAGATGCACTAATAAAAAATGTCCTGCGAGTGTTATTGTTAATAAATCAAACAAAATAATAAAAGTAACCAACTTTCATAGTCATGAGGAGTATAATAATCAACGATAATAAGCAAACGAGTTCTGACACTAGGGATTTTCGTCACAGGTATCCAAAATATTTGTGCGCAATCGAGTTGTGCATATTTGCGCAAACGAGTTGTAGCCGATTTTTATAATTAAGTTTAAATCCCGATTCACACTCGCATAACACTATACGACACAAAAAACGAAAATTATGTCCAATTCACATACAACTGATAAGAAACAACGGAAACGTAGTTATTTGATACCAATATTTGTTTCCAACGGTCGGAAATTGTTTTCTTGAAATTCTCAACATGTTTCAAAAATTTTAAATTTGAGATTTAGCTATGATGATATGGCATTATTACTGTGAATCGGGCTTGAATCTTAAATCTGCAGTTGCGATTTACTTATTTACTATACTTATTATTATATATATATATACATATAGTATTCTATATTTTATATTATATACTCCATTTCTATAAGAAAAGTTAATGGTTATTGATTGTTAGTTAACGATACATTTTTAATGTCGTGTATTGCATATTTCCAAAAAGAATCGCTTTAAATAAAACAAACTCAACATTTAGTAATTTTGATCCAAATTAATTAATGTCTCATGAGCAAATATTATATTTTTAAACTCAGGATTTACTAATATAAAACTATTGTTTTTTCTCCCGGAAATGATCGAGACCAAGTATGACGCGCAACGGTTAACCATTTCTTACAATGACGAAGATAACGAGTTCAATAATTTTTTCATAGAAATATGTATAATACTACCGATTGATATACGATTTGACACAAATATTGATGTATGGCTTGCATATTAGTGGTGTGAAAAATCCGGATTTACCAAAGTTCGAAAATCCGGATTCATGAAATTCGAAATCCGTAATCCGGATTCGGAGAAAATTCCGGATTTTGGAATTCAAATTCGGATTTTCTCGAAATCCGGATTTCGGATTTTGAAACATTGGATTAATATATTTTATGGATTCCTTATATTAAATCCTTGATAAATACACATTTTTTTTTTTAATGAATTAATATATTTATAGAAAAACTTTTAAAGCGAAAATATAACAACAACAACAACAATTATCAATATTGCATAACGTGTAGATATTATGACCTAAACTCAATTTATACATGAAATTAGTAACAACATTTATAAGTATCAGAATAATTTATCCAAAAATACCTAAATATACTTTGTTCAACTAACAGAAAAGTAACAAGTAACAATGTAAATATATACTTAATTACAATTATAATAATTTAAGTTTGAAAAATTATGATGAACAACGTTCAAACAACTTGCTTTAGAATACAGAAATCCACAATGTGAAACCCAAATATTCGGATTTTAAAACTGAAAATCCAAAATCCGAAATCCGGATTTTTCGGATTTTCAGAGAATCCGGATTTATTTCACACCACTATTGCATATACAAAAAGTCATAATCGATTCTGTTCGATGTAAATTGTTTAAGTTATTTTATAAACAAAAAGTTTAAGATTCTTGGGTGATCAATAAAAAATTAATAGTTTTTTTTTTGCGAGTAAGAAAAAACTTTTTTGTTTGATTTTGTTTGTGTGGAAGAAGAGGAATCATAATTGACTGGTTGGCGCTCCTGGTCTAAGTCATAAAAATGTCCATAATTATACGCTCGTCGGCGTGGTACACTCTCATTAAAATTGATAGGAACATCTCTGGTGGTAACGTCTTCAATCTTGATCCGTCTACCTTATCGTAATTTACATGCAAGTTTTGAATTTTTCTTCTCCACCCGTCACCGTACAGAAGACAACGTGACAATTCGTGAGTTTTCACGCCATCGGCCGTTATTGTTTATGTGTAGATATATATATACACGGCCGGTCGTTGGATCGAGCGCGCGCCGAACAGCAGTGGGTGACGAGGGCGAGAGCGGTTTGACGAGAGACAATTGTGAGCAGTACGTACGGTTGACAACAATATGTACGGGGAACGCGTGGATAAATATTAACACATAAACGTAATGAACGATAACGACGTACGGTACGAAAATAATCTACGACAATACGATATGTGTCGCCAGGGTCTGAAAATGTTTCGGTAATCGTCCCCCCCGCGCGTGTGAATATGCTGTGTTCTACACGTATGTAAACACGATGCAGTACAATGCCTTATCAACCTTATATTATTCGTGAATTAATTTATTTATATTCAATAAGAAATCCAAATATTGAACTAAACGTAAGTTCGCTGCCCCCGTTAAAAAAAACTGTTTTTCTGGCCGCCGCCTAGTCACAATATTAGTACGCGATGTCGTACTGCATTGTCATTACTTCGAACCGTACGGGACAGGTCGATCGTTTCGATCCGATCATCGTGCGACCGATCGCAACGGTATCGACCGACGGGATTTGTTTTTACTGAAAACCACCGCGGTGCGCACGCTACAAGTACTGTCGACATCGTGTCGGGTACTCTCGTCTGGGTTAGTGTTTATGATTTTTTCCGTTTGTTGTGTTTCAGCCCCGGCTCCGGGTTCGCCGTGCGATTACGACGATGACCACGATGACCTAGTCGTATCACACGTCCACTACTGCCGCAGCTGACGGCGCGCCCGATCGGAGGAACGTCCGCGATGATGCACCACGCCAACCAGCAGTGGCATTTCAAGCGACCAAACAACAACGCGTACGAGGACGACGATGATGACGACGAGGACGATGCCGCTACCACGGCTGCGGCTGACGACGAGGACTTCGGTGCCGACCCGACCGCGTCCGGCCGACGGTACCTGACCGTACAGCCCAAACAGTGGTGCACCTCTTACGTGACCAACCGGCAGCATTACGTGAGTACAAACACGTACGCGTGTGTATAAACAAGATTTTTTTTTTGCGGTGCTCGGTCGTTTGGGGTCGTGTCGATATACGGTACCACACACACTCAGAATGGTGATAGGATTTTTTTTATCTCGTCAAAATATACAGTCCATATCATTACACATAATTAGTACATGTGATATGTAAACATAGCATGAATAAAAAAAAAAAAACAAAAAATGAAAAAACAAGCCATCCAATGATAACGCTTAAATAGATGATTTAGAAGTTATACGGTGAATGGATTATTTAGACAAATTTCATTTTATTTTTTTATTTTATTATTATTTTTTTGTTATAATATACCTGTGCATCATTTTCATTGTAAGCGTCTTGGAGGACTATCTAGAATTGAGTGGGATCTTCAATCCTTACGTTTTACTGAGCGTTTGAAGATTTTAGTTGAAATGATAAAAGGAAACATTTTAGGAAATCGGTATATATACAATGTATATACATGTGCATATTATACATATATATGTTTGTCCATACAGATATATCGTTGATTGGATGGTTGTTATGTTCTGATGAAGTAAACGCACATCGTTTCTATGGGCATACTAAGAAGTAATCAGTATACGAGTATAATATATATTTATAGTGTTTGACGTTTTATAATGATGGAAAATATCATTTATATTAAAATATTCAGTGCTGGTCTGATTTAGTATCTTAAAAGAAGGAACACATCTATCGTATACTTACACTAAGTTTAATGAACTTTCTTAGATATATGGATTTTTAGGTTCTGTAATTTTACATAAGCACCCATCCATCTATCTGTTATTGAAAAGAAAGGCTGCTTCTTAAAAACCCTTTTATCACATTGTTTTACATGTATTTATTATCGTTTTGCAATTTTTAATTCAGTTAATAAAGCAGGTTTCTATATCGGTACTGAATCCAGGTACCTTTCAATTGATCCTTTCAATTAATCAGTACAACCATTCTCAGATGTTATAGTATTATCTTGGCAATTGCTGTAGAAATTTGGAAATCGGATAAGATGAAAATGATCGTACGATAATACAGTAATTATATTATTATGCGAGAATGACCATCGCGGAGTTCGCTTTTGAAAACTCGTACGATTAATTTGAACATTTCGTTTGAAATTGAAAACTCTAAAAAAATGTACTGCTTAGTAATTAAAAAATAAAAAAATTATAAAACGAAAATTAATTTTGTGCGGGCGTTTAATTCACATGGCATCCACTTTGTCGACGACGACGGCTTAATTAAAAAAAAACAACGATGACGATGGAAACGATAACAATATCTACTCAGTATTCCATCACTACTACCAATACTACCACTGATACTATTAATACTACTACTACTACTACTACTACTACTACTACTATAACTATCACTGTAAGTACAATATCTGTGCAAAGACTTTTCAACTTAAACTTAAAAAAACCATGCTATTCTCATAGTGGTTTAATAATAGCAAAATATTCATATTGTATCTAGTCTCGTAATTAATAGTAATATTTAATGATAGTATATATGTTACGGAAAAATTGTAATTGTGAACATTAATTAGACATTATATACAGTATCTGAGTTTTATAAATATCCACGTGCATAATATCGGTTGACATAAACTAAAAAACTAGTTATCGTTCAACGAATACCTAAGAATCACGTAACAAAACATTTCACCATATAATATGCAGTATAAAATTCAACGTACGCATTAATTAGTGTTATAAATGTGCATAGTGAACGGAAACGTCTCGTGTTAATGTTTAAAAACTGTTCTCCGGGGGTGGGGGGGGAGGTGAAGCTATCACTGAGCAGTTATTGCAATATCAGTAGTGATGACCGGACCCAGAAACGAGGACAAGATGTATCAGGAGACTGCGACGATTTTTCCAAACGTTTTAATTTTTTTCTCGTTATCGTTGCCATCGCCACCACCGTTACGGTCGTACCCATTACGCACGCAATATGTGCGCACCACGACGTGTACATTGATGTGTTTTGAACGGGTAAGTGTAATTTTTTTTCGAATGTGATGCAGAACGAGATACAGAGATAGAGCGAGATCGGTGGGTGTGAGCATATGTTAATGCGTCGTTTTATGCGAAATCGGCAGAGAGAAAAACAGCTGTCGGTTTTTATTATTTTTATTATTTTTTTTTTTTTTTTAATTTTAATCTTTTAATCACGCATTAACACACAACACGAACGTGGACGTGTCGGAAACGGTCCGCAATGTCGCTGCGACGTGCACTCCTCCAACGTTTAATGCTGGCCGTCTGCTGCCCCCGTTGTACACTATAACGATATTATTTCGCGTGTACGTCGCCGTCCAATGCGATTATCGCGTAAACTGCATGTATTTGCGTATTCCCGTAAACGATAGCCCTCGCTCTGTTTGTATTGCTGCTGACTAATTTTTTTTTTTTTTGTCCCCGCTATACGCTTACCCTCTACGACAACGATTTTTAACACCCCCGCGCTTAACCGTCGTCAACACTATCCCTTTCTCCCCATCCATCCGCTCAGTGACGCGGTCGTAATCGTCATATCACTGCGGCGTCACCGGGTTAGTAATCTGCGCGCAACGAAGAAAAGAGAACAAAAAACATTGTTGTATTATACGCGTAAGAGGTATTTTTTCTAAGTACTCGATAAGCCGAACAACGGAGGAACACAAATTAAAAATTCCTCTTCAAAAGAATCGTCCTCTGATTTATTTTTTTCTGTATTTTTTAACTCTCCCGTTCTATTCGAAAAAGCAACAAGCTATTTGTATATACGAAAAAAAAAGATCCACCGTTTGCCCTTTGAACGCAAACGATAATAATATTGCTGCGTCGCCGTCGTTTTTCATTCCCCGCTTTTATCCTCCGACACAAAGGTACCTACACACATACATGCGCACAGAGCATAAGAAGAAGGACCTGGCCGGGACGGCGCGTGGCGGCGGTGGCTTATTGAATTTATTATTGCGTACGGCGGCGGCGGCACCCGAGACTGTCGACTCTGCTACGATAAGGCCAATAAATAATAATAATAATATAGCGAATATGCGTTTATTTGATTGATTTAAACTACACGCATGTGTATTATGCAATCATCGATATTATTATTATTCGATTTTTATTTTTATGTGAATTTTCTTTGAACAGTAAGTTCCGCTTAAAGTGATCGCTGGTTTATAGAATCAACCATTTATTGGAATCAGAAATGAAAATCCCTAACCAAATCGTATATTACTTATGTTGAACTGACGTTTTTATTTGAATCACTATGTACCGGATAGTTGAATCACTTTTATGAAAATGTTTATCGTTTTTATGGTATTTCATACTGATTGATTATAATAAGATCCGTTTTATTTTTGAACTTATCATTTTATTATTGTGTTTCGTGATCATTTTATTTAAATGTCAAACAAATTGAAATATTTATCAAAGAAAAAAAAAGTAAAGTAAAAAAAAAAAAAGGACCGTCGACGTTTTACGTATACGGCACAATGTAATGTGTGTAATATTATGTGCACGCGTACGTGTGTGTAAGTGTGTTTACCACATGACGGGCGCATGGTTAAATAGAAGGACGCACCGTAGTTCCGCATTCCAAAAATATTTTTAACACCGAAAGTCCGTGGAAGATAAAATTGTTTGAAAAATCTGTTACACTGGAGCTCCACATCAATAAACCTATATACGAAACTTCAGTTTTTAAAACGTTTGAACTTAGTTCACCGCCTATCTTTTCGTGAAGATGGGATATGGCACCAAAGGGAATTATAGTCTAGGTCTAACCTGGTTCTTGTACTAACCACTATTGCGGATTATGCTTCGAATGTGAACCAAAAACTTCGCTGCGCGAGTAATCACACATTTCGACTGTTCATGAAAACGATTGTAGGGTAATCGGATGAGAACAAAAAAAAAATTTTGAATTTATAAATAAAAAAAAAATAGAATTATATATAATGAAAACAAAATAGAGGCGGGTGTAAAAAGTTTATATTGACTATGTAATTATATGGCATATCATAATTTTATCTTTTGCGGATTTACGGTGTCGAAAGAAAAATTATTGTTGCGGTGCTGTTTTATAAAACGGCACCGATCCGGCGACGGTACTCTCAAATAGAACGGCAACGGATCTAAGGCGGTACGTTATAGAACGATTGAATAAGCAACAGCAGCGCGACGACAGTAATAATAATAATAATAATAATAACGATAATGGTCGTAACGAAGGACGGGAAAACTCCGTTGTATTATTGTTTGAAAACGATATCCAAAGTGAACTGTATTCCAAACGCGTTCTACGGAGTCGTACGTCACACGCGATCGCTTAAAGTTTTCCGAACGCAATGTTTATTAAATAGTTCGTATTAGTTAATGTCGTCGCCGTTGTTAATGCCGTATTACGCGTGGCCAACATATATGTACGCAGCAGTAGCGTCGGCCGCCACACTTTTACGATCGATCTCGCACGATCGTTTCCGACCGCGGTCGGGTGCAATCATAAACGGTGCCGAGCGAATAACGTGAACGTTACGTTTCTGTAAAGTGTCGTCCGCTAGGACTGGAAAAAAAGATGCGAAATGTACGAGGGAGTGAACAACGGTCCGCGGTACGGGAAATCGAGACGCGACGGTCGACGCACGTTAAAAAAAATAATCGCGCGAGCGTATTCGAAACGATGGTCGCCGGACGTGCGACATTGTCACGTAAATCGATCATCTCTCTCCCCCCCCCCACCTTGCTTGTACGGGATTTTCGAAAATCGTTTTCACCGATGTTTTGCACAGAAATCCGTACGACAGTTTTTCCGATTTTTAGGATCTCGGTTCTCGCCGTTATCGAACGGAATTCCATATGGGCAATGATGCCGACGGTGAAGCTGTCCGCAGGCGTTTTCTGGCGTACGTCTTTACCGGTCGTAACCGTCCAATCGTCAAGTCCGGTATTCGCAATCGCAGACCGCGGAAATC